AGCATAAAGGATGAAAGAATTTATGAAAACTGTATCTTAGGTGGGCATGGTGTGTGGTGGTTTGAAAAACTGGACCCCTCCTAATCTTATTTAAATGTCTGGTCTCTAGTTGGTAGAACTGTTTGGGAAGGATTAGGAGGTATGGCCTTGTTGGAGAAGGTATGTCACTGGGGAGTAGGTTTGGAGGCATCAAACCCCCATATCAAGCCCAGTCTAACTGTCTCTCTGCCTCTTGCACATGAATCAGGATGTAAAGCTCTCAACTACTGCTCCAGTATCATGTCTTCCTGCTTGCTGCTATGCTCCCCACCATGAACTTATGAACTCACTCTCTGAAACTGTAAGCAAGTCCTCAATTAAATGCTTTATTTTATAAGCTAACATCATTATTGTGTTTTCATAGCAATGAAAAAAGTAAATAAGTCATGGTGATATATGAGTGTAATCTTATGATTGGGGACGTTAGGGAAAGCTGAGTGAGGAGACTTGTGAGTTTGCAGTCAGTATGGACTACAACAACAACCTGGAGGCCAGATTCGGCTACACAGTGAGGCACAGTCTCGAGGAGAAAAATAATAGAGAAGGAAAGATTAATGTAACACACACACACACACACACACACACACACACACACACACCGATTTCTTAAATAATTCTCAAAAGCAAATTCTTCATGTGTCTCCACTTAGAACTGGCTGAGATTGGGATGGGAGATTCACTGTGGTCCTGTTCATCACAATTCATTCTAAGCATTCAATACTAGAGGGGATTTCTGCCTTTAAAATATGCTCCCTCCACATGCTAAGGATTGACCTTAAGCTACCAGGATGTTTTCTTCAATGTTTATTGATTAAAATTTTAAATGCAAATAAGCATGGTAGAAATGTTTCACTGGCCTCAGCCAATGTGACTGAAATTAATCTTCTCTGGTCGATACTTTGATAAAACTGGGTAAAGATTAGAGGCAGAGGGGAAAGAAAGGTCTTATCAAAGCTGAAGCAAAGGAGGTCAAGACAATGGAAACAATCCCTAAAGCAGAAAGAGTCAAGTGCAACCACACGTCACTCACATCTCTACTGATGTTAAGCATAACCCAGTGAACAGCCAGCGGCGCCTGCAGGACTCCTTTTAGAGTATGTTTTAGTAAAAGCTGATGAAAATTTGATATGTCTGGTGTTAGACACAGGAGAGAAAAAAACTATCCCTCAAACTTTTGTGTGAATTTTTTTTATTAATAACAAGTTGCTTGATTTATTAACCAATTAAAATTTAAATGGTGAAATGGTTACATATAAAAATACAATGACAATAACCATGAAAAGCAAAATTAAAATATATAAAATTATGTTAGATTATATCCTGCATTTTATCATTTTAATCATGCTTCCCTTATTCATATAAATTAGTATTTTCATAAGAGTAGTGGTCTTAAAACAGTTAATATTTCATATCTATCTCTAGGAAACTAATAGAAGGCAAACTGCATGACTATACACCATAGACTGGAGACCTAAAGTCAATAGGTCCCCAGAAAATGGAGTAGTGAAGAAAGTACCTAGTATGAAAACAGGCTGGTGACTCCCAATGCCTCCTTTCCACTAGTTAATAAAGATTGTTTCTTGTTTCAGCTGTAGATTATAGGAAACATTTCACATTGACTATGTTCTTTTAGACAGTTTGAGATATAAAATCCATGGAACCCCTTTTAAATAACATCTATTATCCCTCTCACAGTGAAATGAGCACTTTAAACTACTTACCCTAGAAAGGTGTCTTTTCATACATGTTTTAGGTCACATTTTTTGGACTGCTGATATTGAATGTCTTGTGGTATATATTTTGCTTTCTATCCATAATAAAAATTGATGATTAGGCTAATGCTAAGATTAAAAGTATGTTCACGCCAGACATTGGAGGAAAGAATAACAAAAGAAGTACATAGAAACAACTAGGTAAAAATTGGTCTCAGTTTCACTAGCAATTTTCATTTGTCACTCATAATATCACTCCAAAAGCAAAGTATTATAGTCCCATTTTATAGTGAAAAACTGAGATTCAGAGCTATTCGAAACTTTTCCAACATATCAAGGCTAGTACAAGAGCTGAAGCCCAGCCCACATTGTCAGATAGATACATAGACAGATAGACAGACAGACAGACAGACAGATAGATGATAGATAGATATGCATATATATAATAGCAGAGAATATATTTACTTATTTATTCCAAAATTTATTGTGAGTATTTATACATATAGGAAAGAATGTGATATAGAAAACACTTCAAAATGATGATAGTATTGATAATGCAGTTGGTTCCAAGAATACAGAGTTTATCATCTAAAAATCTAGGTAATGAGGAAAATATATATGTGTATATAGGAAGAGGAATGTTGAAACGGCAGCTACCACTGGAACAGAGAAGTGTGGGTGGGCAGGATAAGGAGAGGCCTGGAAACAGAGCCATACACATGGACTTGGCTATTCAGAAATGCAAGCAGAGACCACACTAATTCCTGAAGCTGAACCAGAACCAGAATTAAGCTCTTAAATTGAATCAGCCAGTATTGTAAAAAATACTTAAGTTGCTTACAAAATGAGAAGCCAAAGCAGCTTATTTTGAATGGGAACAGTAGGAAATAATAAAGTGATAATAAGGAAATTTGTCACAAGGGAAGATTATGAGAAAGTGAAGTTTCTGGAGATAAGGGCTGAAGATACAGAAAGATGAGGTCATCAGCCAATGCTGGTAATATGATGTCAGTATCGTGTACACCAAATTCCCTAACCTGACGTGAGCAACCTGGAAAAAAGCAGCAAGCATTTCCCCAACATCCAGTGGTCTCTCATGAGACACCAGCATCTTCCATGGAGGAAAGTAATAGAATCATCAGACATCTGAAAAAACGAACCAATAATGAGACATACATCAAAGATGCCTCTATCATGGTAATGCAGATACTGACTACACTGAAGGAACACCAAATTCCACAAGAAATCAGAAAGTGTGGGGAGGGAGGAATACCTGACTAGAATTCAGCAGAATTTGCAAAGAAGAGCAGCAGTTTAAGCCCTCTAGGAACTGTATTTAAAAGCTTGAGAAGAAAATGGCAATGTCTTCAAGCAACTTTTCCTTATTATTTTTCCAGTAAGTCACAATGGAGTCCATACCTTCTCACTAAGCATTTAGAAATAAATGTCCCATACACTTATTTCCACACATATTTACATGTTTTGGTATTTGGGTGAAAGATGTATTTCCTATAGAGAAGCTACTTTGTAAAATTCTACTTTGAACAAATCTTGTCTATATTTTTAAATGTATTTTAAACGTGTGATGGCTTAATTTCTGAATCATTTATGTGTTAAGGCTGCTGGAGGCATACACACAAGTGCTTTCACAAGTAATTTGGATATTATTATAAATTTCACAGAAACTACCATTGGGAATTAAAACCATTGGGGCCTGAGAATTTGGAAGCCAAGGAGAGTGAAGGTGGCATTTGGGTATCTGTGGGTATCTGTCACATTCTGGCGAAGGCTGACTGTACCCCTACCTGGAAAGTTATAAACATCAAAAATACACATTTCCTTTTCAAAGAGCAATAAAATTATCTGCAACAGAACCTATGTGTGTATGTATGTGTGAATATGTGTTTATAATTAACTAAGCTCCTGCTATGTACTAAGCTGGATGCTTTATGTGTGTCATTAAACTTAATATTCATGAACACACACCTACTATTTCATCTCACAGAGAGGAAGTGGGTGAAATCCCTGTAGTAGGTAGGGATAATAGAACTTGTTCACTGTGCTTTGGCTATGGTACACACTGGAGCCTTTTAGGACAAAAGCCTTTTAGCCTTTTAGAATGTAACAGGAAAGTTACATTCTTAAAGTTCTTTCTTCCATTCTTCTCTAATTGTAACTCATATCAAATATTTGAGAAAACCAGTCAGGAGCAGCAACCTACCTGATTGCTCAGAGCCATGGTTCTTGACTGTGGATCATGTCCCCTTTGGGAGTGAAATGACCCTTTCTTAGGGCCCACATATCAGATATCCTGCATAATTTGATTGGCCTGTTCTTTGATCACCTCCCCCTGAGGGGAGAACAGCCTTACCAGGCCACAGAAGATGACAATGCAGCCATTCCTGATGTGATCTGATAGACTAAGATCAGAAGGAAGGAGAGGAGGACCTCTCCTATCAGTGGACTTGGGGAGGGGCATGCGTGGAGAAGGGGGAGGGGAGATGGGACCCAGAGGGGAGGAGGGAAGGCCTTATGGGGGGATACAAAGTGAATAAACTGTAATTAATAAAAATAAATAAATTTTTTTATTGAAGAAAAAAAAAGAACCATGGCTCTAAGTCATCAAAGCTTCCCAAGGACTTAGCTTCTCCAAATCAAAACTCTACTCAGCTCTAAATGGAAAGGGTTCAAATTGCTGGGGTTTTACTCTCTTTCTATCCCAATATTCTAGAACCTATGCTATGGAAGCCACTTTCTCCATTGGGGAAACCACTTTCTGTGTAGTTTCCTTTTCAATTGTGCCATGGTGGTGAAAAGATTTAAGCCCATACAATGACTGAATCAAGCAGGAATGTAAACTCTGACACAACACTTCATTGATTACCTAACCAATAATATTTTAGAATAGCTGTTGTGTGAGACAATATACAATAAACCAAACACAAGTTATTCATTCCCAAAATCCTATCTGATCAGATTTTCAAAGCATAGCTTTGCTTTAATGAAGTCCAGAATTAGGTCTGTAACTAATGAAGTTTTCTTAGAGGGCCTCAAGTTGAAAGTTATCTCAGACACAAAATGTATAGATGAGGTGACAGCCTGGGATATTATAAGCAGAGGGACAAGGCATATGTTCATAATGTAAGTAAAGATAAATTTTATTTCACAGCATTCACTAAGAATGTTTAGACCCAGTTTGCACTGGTGAACTTTGCATTTTTGAGAACATGTTTATAAGTGGCACAATGCACTCCCTGGCAATGGAAAAAGAGACCCCTTGTTGGTGGCATTGTTCTTATATCAGTCAGGGGCAGAGCAGTTGGCAGTCCTGTGTTCCTCCTAGCCTGATGCCTGCCTTTAGTAGCCAAAGCTCTCTTCGGCCTAGGACTCATAAAGATCAAATCAAATTAAATCCAGGCAGCGTAGCAGGGAGAAAGAAGACGGACAGATACTCACAGACCGCCATGTCACTCACAGACCTGTGTGGCACAGAAAGGTCATAGACACGCTCTTGCTGCCTTGCTATGCAGCACGGATGGAGGGTGTCATCCAGGGTCTCACCAGCTGTGTGGCCAGCCTGCGGCAGGAACTACCACAATGTGTGAGTATGTGGTGGTCAGATGGGAGAGAAAGAGAAGTGGAGCAGCTTGAGCATTATGAAGAAAGATGGAACTGGAGAGTTGAGGGTGTAGAGGAGTAGCCTGTTGCAAGAGGCCAGCCCCATCACCTGGGGCCATGGTGAGATCCCAGCCCAAGCTGCTGCTGAGGGCCAAGTCTGAGTCTATGGCTACACAGCAGCAGGGGTTGTTGTCGATGACCATGGCTCATATTACCTCTAGAGAATATGGGGATGTCCCTGGTCAGGGAAGCTACCAGGGACTACATGGATGTCCAGAGGCTGTGCATAACTGGCCCCATCCCTCACTGGATGTGGTGCTCTGGCTCCATCTCTCACAGTGGCAACACTCAGGAGGATGGTCCTACACCTTACTAGGCAGCACAGTGGAGCTGGCCCTGGTGGCTGAGGCATGGGTGAGTTAGCCCTGAGGAATGTGCAATGGAGAAATGGTTCCACCACTCCTTTGCTGAGAGGTTGTGGTGGATGTCCTTTGCCCTCTCACCCCTTGCTGTGAGAGCTGAAATCAGGTTCATGAGCGCAGGTGAGCTGTCCCTGCCCCTCACTGGGTGTAGCACTCAGGAGAATGGGCCTTGCACTTCTCCCTGGCAGCATAGTAGTGCTGACCTTAGTTGAGGAGGATCAGGTGAGCCAGCCCCGACAACAAAGCATGGGAGAGCTGGCCTCAGCAGTCTTCTGCTGTGAGGTGGCATGGGTTCAGGGATCATATCCTACCCTATTCCTTGCCCTCACCCCTGTTTGAGAGAATGGGTCCTAAGGTCATGACATTGGGTAAGCTGGCCCTTCCCCTCCCCAGCTGCAGCACTCTGTATAGTGGGCCCTGCACCTCACCTTTGCAGTACAGTAGAGCTGGCCCTGGTGGAAGGGGCACAGATGAGATGGCCCCAAGGGCAAGAACATAAGAGAGCTGGCCCCAACACTCATCTGGTGTGAGGTGGCATGCATACAGGATGATGCTCTCTACCTCCCTGTCCCCCTTGCCACTTGCAGTACCCAGGAGATCTGGCCCTGGGCTCATAAGAGCAGGAGAGCTAACCCAGCTTCCTCACTCATTGCAGCACTCAGGAAAGTGGGCTCTGTACCTTGCTGCAAGTCAATCAGTTACCTTTAACCCCTATTCTTAAAAGTCTGTCGCATCCAAAATGAACTTATAATAACACATTTCTAGATATCCACCAATCAAAAACTGACCCAACCAAACCAGCCATACTTCTTTGGATGGTACCAATACACTTAGACCTCTGAAAATTCACCAATCCTCAAGAAAGTATGATTGACTAACATAACTTTATTTCCCATACACTCTACAGTAAGCAATGCTACTTTTCGTAATATTTGAAGAAACATTGAGTAATATTTGAAGGGTATAGTAAGAGAAAATATATAAGAAAGCTTTGAGGAAATATAACATAATGCATTATTGCCTTAATATGCAATTTTACAAGAAAAAGATAATTTGTACATTAGACTACTCTGAATCCACTCTTTATTTTCCTATTACTAGCAACTATATTAGTTATTTTTCCTGTTTCAGTGATTATATGGATTAAATGAAACACATTGGTGATTAACTCAGAGTCACCAATAATGCAGGTGTGCCACAATAAGGAAAGAAATAAAAGTTCTTCCCTTTGAAGAGATTTCATCAAGAGTGAGTCCAGATTTGAATGCCCCAATTCCCACTTCCTCTATCTCCCATCCTCCCTCTGTGTGCTATATGAATCTGGATCTATACCTGACTTAAAGCTGTCTTCTAAATCTGTTCTGGTGTCCACGTCTGCCTGTCCCTGTATGTCTGTAGGTGTCTGTACCTAACAAAGAGCTTTGATCTTTCTCTTTTATTGCATAGCACAAAAAGCATCATGTGGAAGGAGTGAAGAATACTTTACAGAAATCCTTACCAGAGTTTTACAAGAGATTAAGTCACCAACTCCACCTTACCATATAAGAAAGAGTGTTACAAACATCATTGTATACCAACCGATAACCATAAGTGTTGTTTGTTCTTCACATTTTGTTTTAGGAGATTTTTTTCCCCTAAACTCTGTATTTGCTGCTTTCAGGAAATGATACATATGCATTATTCTGCTCAGGGCCATGGGAAAATATATAACTTGAGAGTACAGTTATATACTAGTTTAGGTTGTAAAAGCTGATTACATGGGAAATTCAAGACAAGAAAAATTGATTGCTGCATTGTTCTCTTAAAAGCAGTTTAAACAAACAGTCCAAGAACACCGTAGGAAAGCAGTCGTAAGTCTTGAGTGACCTTATGATGTGTGTTATTAACTCTGGCTGAGGGGTCCAGCAAAAGTTCTGGTCTCTTAGAATGAAAGAGATAGTTCTACCATAGTGCATTACCACATGTGATTTGAAAAATAAATACCCCACAAAGGCAACTTGAGTAAGGAAGAGTTTGCTTTGGCTCGCCTGTTAAAGGTGCACTCCACTGTGGCTGCAAAAACACCTTCAGCAGGAACCTAGGGCAGTCATAAGTAGAGACGGACGAAGGCTGATGCTCAGCTAATTTTGCCTCTTCTATGTGGTCCAGAACTCCAAACCACAGAGTGGTGCTGCTCCTGCTGATGGAGCATCTTCCCATCTCAACTAACGAAACAGAATCCCTACACGAATTTCCAGAGCCTAGCCTAATCAAGGCAACCACCCACAGGTACCCCAAAGGCCTCCTCTCATGGGAGGGATGGACACTAGACACATGGACACATCTCCATGTTCACACTGTGAGTGCAATGAGTGCAGCATGCTGAAAGAGGGAGTTAGTTCACAAACAGTCATGGGATGGGAAGTAGTCTTGAGTGGAGGGCACCTGAGTGGTTGGGGAGTGGGGTGTGCCAAATGAAGATGTTTCTTTGACTTTTTCAAACTCGCTGTCCAACTGTCCTTTTTAGTCTCTTTAACATCTTAGATATGATGGTAATATCATTTTACTCTCAAGATAGACAAAGAAAGGGCAAGCATGGAAAATGGAGCAGTTACTAAGCATGTAAGCTAAAGTATGTCTCTTTAGGGTTCTCTAGTGCAGCCACTGCAGGGTGTCAACCCAAACTGTCTTAAACAGGTACACACGAGCATTCTACAAAGACTAAAATGTTTCTTTCACTTTGTGTATTGTAAGAATATATTTGGTTTCAGTTCACTTAACAGAGCCTCACTCTTTCTAAATATGCCAAGTTGACAACTAAGATTAGTCAACATAAACACATACACATACACACATATGCACATACACGCATACATAAACATATCCATGTCTTAACCTTTGGAACCTGTGTACATCGTCTTATTGAAGAAAGAGTTTCTGATTTACGGTTTTGATTTAATTAAGCATCTTGGGATGAGGAGAACATATATTTTCTAGTTTAGCCTCAAACCCAAAGACTAGAGAGAGAGAAACCCAGAAAAGAAGGAGAATGAACATGAAAATAAAGACTTTAGGGATAAGGCTACAATCCATGTAAAACCAGCATCCACCGCTACAAGCAAAACATGGAGTCTCCCCAGCATGTCTGGAGTGAGCATCGCCATGCTCACATCCTGACCTCTGACTTTGGACCTCTTAGAAACCCACAATAAAATGTTATTGCTTTGAATGACTTAGTTAAACATGGTGGTGCACGTCTATAATCCCTGTACTTGGGAAGCTGATCCAGCTGGAACACAAGTCCAAGGATACACTAGACTGTGTAGGAATACCCTGTTTCAAAAACGTCAATCAATAATACCAAAAACTAAAGATAAATAAAACATTCAGTTTGGGGCAAGTTGTTATGGCATTTAAAAACCTGATTCATATTTTTTTCTAGTAATCCAAACACATTTCCAGTGGGCATAACCGTACTCCCACCTTTTGTGTTTCTTTTCATGTCAAAAATTTACTATCATAAATTTTATATGCTCTTCATATGATTATGGCAAATTTATCAAGTGGAAATTTTTAAAAATTGTTTTAAGATACTGAGCTGCCATGGGCTACATCTGTGCAGGGATTCTGTTATCTCCATACATCGTCCTTGGTTGTAGTATTAGTCTCAGAAAAGACTCCTGGGCCCAGATTTCTTGGTTCAGTTGCTCTTCTTGTGGAGCTCCTGTTCCCTCCAGGTCATTCCCTAGTAAGAGGAGCAGGGACTGTCTCTGACATAAACTCAGTGGCTGACTCTTTGGTCACCTTCTCCTGAGGGTGGGGCAGCCTTACCAGGTCACAGAGGAAGACAATGCAGCCAGTCCTGATGAGACCTGATAGGCTAGGGTTAAATTGAAGGGGAGGAGGACCTCCCCTATCAGTGGACTTGGAGAGGGGCAGGAAGGAGATGAGGGAGGGAGGGCGGAATTAGGAGGGAATGATGGAGGGGGCTATAGCTAGGATACAAAGTGAATTAACTGTAATTAATATAAAAATTTTTTAATTGTTTTAAGATTTTCTTATTTTATTTATGTGCATAGGGTTTTGCTCATATGTATATCTGTGCACCATATGCATCCTAGTTACCTTTGGAGGTCAGAAGGGGATGCTAGAGTCCTTGAAATAGAATTATGGACAGCTGTAAAGCACCATTTGTGCACTGGAAATCAAACCATCACCCACTGCAAGAAGAGTAAGTGCTTTTAACCGCTGAGTCATCTCCCCAGCCCCAAGGAGAAATGCTTGCATTTTATATTCTGTAAGTCATTTAACAAGCCTGTGTACTAGGTATCCTTATCAAGCCAGTATTTACAGATAACTGGGCTAATAATCTGTG